TTCAATTCTTTTTTTTTTTTTTTTTTAAACTCAAGTCTTGACCCTGCTGGTATAAATTTCATTAAGAAAGTTATTTAAGGGCTGGCGATGTAGTGACAGAGTAAGTACTTTGCATGTACTAGACCCTGGGTTTGATCCCAGCACCAAAAGAAAAAATAATAATAAAAAGAAAGCTGCTTGAGAATTAGAAAGCACCATTCTCGTGAATATTCATCAGATAAATCTTATCTGATATGAGCTTGTGGGAATTCAGGTCTGGGACTGGCTTAATATGAAACCAAGAACCCTGTACAGTACACTGGAATTAGAGATCCTCTGAGAGGTTTATATTTTAACTGATTATCAAGATGAAGAGTGGTCACGTATGAGAGCGAGGCTTAGGTTTGAAGCCATTACCTCCAGGAGATCAGGAGGAAAATTTTAAGCTCTAACAGATGCTAAACCCCATTAGACCTAAATCAGACTACTGCAACAACAAAGAATACTACAACCTCCTTTTCTTATAGGAACGAAACTTAGACTCTTAAAGTCTGCTTCCTGATCTTCTCATAGTTGTTCATTCTCTTTGATAAAAATTTCCAAAATTGAGTTGGGTGCTGTTGTCAGGCCCCATAATCCCAGGGACTTAACAGGCTGAGGCAAGAGGATTGAAACAGCAAGATTCTTGTCTCAGAAAATAAAAAGGGTGAGGAATATAGCTTAGTGGTAAAGCATCCCTGGGTTCAATCCCTAGTGCCAAAAGTAAATTATTTCCAAAGTTGAAAATCAACATGGAGAGGTGGCAGCTTCCCGAAACATAATTCAAAATTCACTCAATTTCAAATTTAATTTCAAGTAATAGTGTTTACTGTTGGTTGGTTTTCAAAGCCACAATGCTGGTTGGGTAAGGTTTCATATAAAGTGGCTTAGTTATGAATTTAGTATATAAAACTATCAAGTCTACAATTTCTAAAGATTTTTGATGGAATTTCATTAAATCTGTGAATGAAAGTATTAGCTTTCACCATTGCTAATACAACATTCTCTCCAAGGGAAGTCAGTTTTAGATCCAGTTACATTTGTCAGTCCTTGACCAGGTTTTGTTTTGTTTTTTGGGTTTTTGTTTGTTTTTTAGTGCTAGGGATCAAACACAGGGCCTCAGCATGCTAGATAAGTGCTTTACCCCTGAGCTAGATACCCATAGCTAGCTGGATTTAAATGAAACATGCCAGCATAAATATGGAACAAATCCACAAAAATGACTGCTTCAGTGCTATAGTAACTGGTATAACTAGAGCAGTGTGTGAGCTGAACAAGTACATAGTGACTAAAGTCATAGCCCTAGACCTAGGAAATGGTTGCTAAACATGTTAGATATAAACTAAACAAATAGTCCTCTTTTAGAAGGTGTTTTTCAGCTTTAGTGCTGACTAAAAAGAATCTAAGCCACCAGAGAGATGCATATGTGCCTGGTGAAAACCTAAGTGGCCATGGGAAGTTTTACCCCAAAGGCACAGCTCTTCACCTAATTAGTGCAGTAACTAGGCTAAGGAACCTGGTTATCAAGTGTGCTTGGAATGGTGAGCTTTTAAAAAATCCTTTGGTGTGAAGTCTAGTGAGCTCAGGGGAAACCTTAAGATTGGATGGAATCAAAAGAAACAGGCTTAGAACAGCCCTGCAGTAAATGGACTCAGCTCACTCCCACAGCCATTCAGCACCACCTTCCATATCCACTCACCATCCCAGTCAACATCTGCCTGGGAAAGGGTGTGGGGACCCAGGTGGAGGCTTCTCTTTTGCATCATTCCCTTTGCATATTACACAGTGCACTGGTTTGTCTTAGAATTCACATATAGGGGATTGTTTTCTACACTGCTTCTTGCTATTCTGAGCAAAAGAACTTTAGAACCAATGGAGATAACCACTTCAGGAGGAACCACTTTTGTTTGACTTCTACCACAAGTTGCCCAGCACAAGTCATTATTTTGATAGACTAAAAGGCCTTTTCTGATCATTTGTGCTCTCCCAACCAGCTGGAAAAGCAACCCTTCCACTTATAAGCTTTAACCCCAAATAAGGATATAGAACACATTTAGGAAGGGGTAGTCTTCCAGCCTGCTTTGTAAAGGCCAGAGTTAATGTATGGAACATACAAGGGTATACAGCAGGCCTGGAAAGAGCCATTTGATGAGTAATTACAAATAGGAACAACTTGGACATTACAATAAAATTTCAGAACTTGCTGGTAAGAATGATTTGCATTTACACACAAGAGATGAAATGCTTTCAACACTACATAGACCCATTTGCCACTTGAAATAAGAAGGAATCCTTTTCCTTTTCAATCTCATGCAAACCATAATTGAGTACAAGGCACCAATTTATGAATTGTATAAAATTAGTTCACAAAGCTTTATCAGTAAATAAAACAAACTTCATTTCTCCCTTCTTGTCCCCCCACCCCCCCACCCCTTTACCCCCAACCAAGTTTTCATTCTTTACTACTGTCTACCTCTCTGGCTTGCACTGGGGCATGCCCCACTACCAGCCAATCCACCCCATTGGTTCTTCCCTTGCACTTGGATGGAGTTGTAAGCATAGCCAGAGTAGGGAACTCATACAATCATTGGCTCTAGAAGCCTTGCCCTTAAAAACAAAAATAAACTCTTGCTATTGAGTCCATAGGACACATTAACACTTCTACAGTTTCCAATTTTGTTCATGACATTTTAAGAGACATCTGGAAATTCTTTACAGTGTGGCACTGCCCCCTACCTCAGCCTAAGAGGGGCTGGATCAAAGCTAGCAAGAACTCTGTCCACCATTTAATAAGTGCTTCAGTTCCTGGCAGCCAAGGGCATTCCTAATTTTTTTACACTAGCATGGATGCTGGTCTCAGAGGCAACCACAAGTATGAGGGTCAGGCTAGACTGAGGTAAGAAATCTTTTTTTGAGGGCCAGGGTGCATTCTTCTTGGCTGGTTACAGCAGCAAGTAAACACACCAGCCAACTACAAAGGGTTTCTGGAATGGGACTCTTAACTACTTGCCCTGGGAAAGAAGCAGGCCCTTTAAGATTCAGTAGATCTTGGGTTTGATTTGGCAGCAGCTAGTCAACTTCTACCTGTTCTTATTTTCATTTTTTCCTAATGTTTCAATTAATGTAAGATGCAACTGAGACATTCATCTGTTTCCAATGTAAATAACTTAAAGGCAAAGGGACACTTCCCTTAATAGCTATTGGCTTTTGCAGTGGTGAACCCTTCTAAAAAAAAAAAAAAAATCTCCTTAAAAACTAACTTAACAGTGCCTAGTGCTGCTGCTTCTGGTACCTGAGGTGTCTGTGACTGCAATGGGCACCTTCATAATTGTGTAGCTTAGGGGCAACTCTGATGTTGGTTTCTGTTCCAACTCATTTTAAATGACTTTATTAATTTGATAAGTGAGTGCTCAGCTAACAAGCACTATTTTACAAATAATCTGCCTAATAATCCTTACAGTGTTTGGTATGCTATTTTCTAAATAAAAATTGAAGACCTTTCAATTTTTGTTTACTAATCAGTATTTCTGGACAGCCAGAGGGGTGAAGCAGGTGCTCTATCTGTTCTTCTCYATCTTGCAAGTTCTCTTATTATTAGAATAATAAACATAGGTGTCAAGATGAGGCACAATTCAGTTTCCTTTACTTTTTCACTCCCTTCATTTTTTGTTGTTGTTATTGTTAATGGACTTTACTGTTGCCACAAGAAGTCACCACCAGTCATGCAACTTAGGAATGTGGACTTTGAGAGTATACTTTCACATCAGAGCCTCTGACAGCACTGGCAGCTGTGGACACTTTAAAACAGTGTCCAGGAGAGGGTAAACCCAGGCAAAGCTTATACAAAGAAGCCTGCAGTAGACAATATAAACCAAACAGCATAAAAATGCCATACGCTATCGCTTCCAAATAAAAGCTAAATGTTACAGAAACCTCACAGTGTTGGAAAAAGCAAGTATAATTTAAAATATAGTCACTCCTTCCTATCAGGGTGAGCCATTTTCTGTCTGAATTTCCTCCATGCTCAGTGTTATCGGTTCTACAGGAGAGTTCAACTCAAATTTGAGATCAACAGCAAATGCTACAGATCTGTTTGGGAAATGTGGCTCATCAGCACTGCTAAAGCTATAACCCTCACTCTTTAGCTTCACTTTTCCCATGCCCCACCCCTCCCCAAACTCCCTTCCATTTCTACTCCCTTCAAGTGACAACTGTACTTCTACCTGAATTCAAACAATATGATATACTCAGTCAAAAGATGAGCATTCATAGGGACAGGTTGGGGCTCACTGCCGCAAGCACCACAATAATAAACATAGGTGTTAGTCTTCACTTTCATTGGGAGTTTAAGCAAAGGACTAAGAAGGGAAATTCTGGTGCCTGATGTCAAGGAGAGTTTTTGTTTGGCAAACTCATCTCATTTGGAAACTGACCAAATTTTAAAAGGAAAAATATATTTTACTAGTATTGGAATAAAGGAGAGGGCACTTTTGATTTTTTCTCTGATGGACTGAGGATAGGTAGCTAAAGCAACAATAGGGAGTAGCAGATGAGAAGGAAACAGGCCAGGGCCATTGCAATAAACTGGACACACACAGTGGATTCCTAAGTAATTCCCCCACCCTAGGGAAAGCAAAAGCTCCCAAGCCTTACAAACACCAATATTCTACCTCTCCAGGCGTAACAAAGAATCTGCAGGTAAAGAAGCCATGTGCTACACCAAAGTAAGAAAGGGCAGCAGCCATTCAAATAAGCCCTGCCCGCCCTTACTGCATTCCGAGAAAGCCTGAGACAACTGACCTCCAGACCAATTTAAACTGAACCATAAGCTTGCCCTAGACCTGAACCAAGGAACTGCTACAGAACTGGGATAGCCAGGAGAGCCCCTTGGCTCAGCATGCAGAGAACATGTACTGGTCCATTGCTTCATTTCAACTGTCCCTTTTTTTTAAAGGAAGGGGTGTTCATGCCAGTCCCAGAAGTGTAGAGTGATTAAACAGCAGCAGCAGCCGGGGAGGGTATGACACGTGAACACACCACGTTTCATTCCACTCTTCAGCTGCTATTCCCTGAAAAAGGAAGTTTCTGAGTTTTAACTCTTGAAGGTTACTTCCCTTGTGGACTTTACCTCCCACGTCAGAACCAATCCCATCCAAAAGCTGCCAGCCCAGGAGCCCTCTTCATGTGCTCTGTCCAGAGTTGCTCACCTTGGGAATGTTCTGGTGCTGCTAAGAGGTCCTGGTTAGTAGGGGACTCACCTAATGGGACCAAAGACACAGCTGTTCTCCTGGCTGGATAATCAATCCCCACCTCCTCCTTTCCTCAACTCAGATCCCTCTATATTCAGAAGCAACTGATGAAAGAATCTTCATAGAAGTTACTCCTTTTGATTTGTTTTATGAAAGGAGGGGATTTCTAAATGCATTCAAAAGAAAGTGACTACAAACATTATGACAGAACATGAATCACCTGGCATCTTCTGCTGTAGCCCCAGTGAGGCAAACTAGTAATCTGTTCCTGCAGTAGCCTTATTTCCTATGAGGGGAAAGATGTGTGGACACCAACGGATTAAAATCAAAGCAGTCTTTATCCATGCCTCTCAGTCAAGGGAATATCTGTGGTCTGCCTTCATCCTTGTTGTTGGACTGCACCTGAGCTCGGAGTTGTGTTTCTGAGATTCTTGCATTGCCCTGCACTGTTCTTTGAGTGTAAAAAAGAATGTAGGCCTGGGTTTTGCACACTTCCTCAACACTGCATACATTCAGCTTTGAGTCATTGCAGTGGACCCAAAAACCTAGGAAATCAAAGGAAAGAAAAAGAAAATGACTTCCCAATTCACATTTCCAGTCAGCAGCAAACCAGGAGATGAAGAAAGGAACAGAGGAGTTCTAATTAGAGCCACCCTTGGATTACTGGCGATGCAGGAAGGACTAGTAAATGAAACCAAGGTTCTCCGTAACCATTGGTCTACCAAAACTAACCATGAATACTGCATACAGTATTCACTGACTTGTTTTTGTCATCAGCTTACTCAGGCTTTTTCCTTGGCCGTTAGAACATTCCACAAAGATAGCCAGGATCTCATTTGGACAAGGAGGAGAGAAATGAAAATAGGAGTGATAAAGGAAAATTAGAAGGATAAGTTATTTGTTCACAGCCTCTGGGTGCCCCAGGTGCTGAGGGGTTCAAAACTGGGGCACTGCTGAAAACGTATCTGCACCCCATATGCCTCAATATGGTAGTTGGGAAGCTCTGCCCTGGGCAACAAGCTCCTTTGGAGAAGCCCTTGCATCCCCACTCTTCCCAGAGTAAGGGAAGTAATAAGAACACAGAAAGTGCTCAGGAATGTCCTCAGCTTTATTTTGAGTGAAGCTAGTGAGATTCATAATATCTCCACAAAATCACAGAGGTACTATAGTTTCTGCATAACCAAGAAGGAAACTGAGGTCTGCAGAAGTATCATTACCACAGCAATAGTAATACTATCAATAGCCAATAGTACTGATAATACTGTGATAGACTGAGCCAGTATTATGTACTAGGCACTGATCTAAGCACTTTTACATGTGTCAGTTCCTTTTAATTCTTAAATCAACTTTATAATGTTACTTAGTATATATCAAAAATTTGAATCTTTCATATTTCTTTTCACTGAATTTTAACATATATAGTTTCCCAATAGGTGACCTATGGGATGGAAATAGAAGGAAGGCAATAAATTGTGGACACACCAACCCTTTTCCGTGTCCCCCACCCCACAGAGTAAAGCGCACGCACCTCCCTCTGTGTTGTAGCAATAGGCTGTGTAGTGTCCTGAGCCAAACCCTTTCCCGTGATGCATGACCACTGCGGAGAGATCATAGGCAAAGGTCTCTTTGTCAAGAGAGGAGAGCATGTCCCTGCAGCAGTAAGGTTCCATGGTTAATACCTGGTCAAAGACGACATGGACCCCAATCTTCTCTCGATGGTTACGGCCAGACCACCTAGAACACGGACATAAACATCTTACTAGTGAAAACTGCAATATGTGCTCATAGATAGCCTTAAGCAAAACAGGGAACTGAGAAAACTTAAGCTTCTGCCTTTGGTTTTCTCATCAATAAAGTGTAATAACCAATGTCCACATATATTTTCTGTGACTGTTCCACAAAGTACTTTGAACCTAGAAATTCCTAAACAAGCATTTCAGGCAACAATCTTTACAATTTACTACCTGCCCTTCTTTTCACAGATGTTTTTATGAAACTTCATCCTGAAGATGAATCTACAGTGAGTCCAAGCAAGGCTAGAAAATCTTCAGGCACAGATATATCTGGTGCAGGCTAGACAGTTAAACAGGGCCAAAGAGCAGAAGCCCAGTCCTGCTGGGTTCCAAATTCAGTTGGCGTTCGTGTATGTGAACCACTGAATCTCCATGGAAAGCTCAAGGTCTCAAGAGAATAAACTTTCCCTCCCGACACCAAAGCAGATAGACATCTGCCCTCTCCAAGCCTTTGAGGCAGCTATTCCCACAGCTCACAACCATCTGGGACTCCCAGAGCAAGCTCACCTGAATCTTTTAAGGTGCAGCCGGAGGACCTGAGGTAGTCTGTAGATCATTAACTGCTTTCTAGCTTCACTCAGAACAAGGGGTTTGGGGTTGGACTTGCGTCGTTTGCCTATATGGTTTGGGAAGGTATAAGACATAGGTTGTAAGGAGTCTCATTCTTTCCTAGCTATGGCAGAGACGATGACTTGCCATTCAGTATGCATTCTCCTTAGTATTTGACCCCCAGTTTTATTTGGGGCAGCAATGTGATGCTCTGTAAGACTGCACTTCCCAGCTTCTCATGTCTGCATGGTGTGGCTCTGGAACTGCTGAGATGAAAGGAGTGACTGTGGCACTCTGGGAAGGCTGCTTAAGGGGGGCTGACTCAGTTGCAGGGTCATCCCTTTGTCCTTCCTATGGTTTTCTAGAACTCCTCTGGGACCACGACCTTGAAGATGGAAGTCTTGCACTAGGATAGTATACCAGGAGGGAGAAGCTTGGGTTCCTGATGACCATGCAGTCACCATGCCAGCCCCTGAATGTCCTTCAGACTTCTTTTATAAAAAAAAAAAAAAAAAAAGTAAAATTTTATCTCATTTAAGTCATTTTTATTTGAGTTGACTGTTACAAGCAACCAAAACAAATTGGTATGGGTTCAGGATGGTACACTCTAGTTGTCATGAATTCATTGATGAAATATAATGGACAGTCACTGCAATAGCATGTACATAGGGTTGAATATGCCAGGGTTTTATACACTTATAACTTAAATTATGATGCACTATAACTTTAAAAAGCTTTTTATTTTCATAAAATAAGCCTAACTCAATTTTCTGCTCACAGCTAGTTGTAGGCTAAATGAATTAAAAATTATTTAAAACTCTGAATATCCATTTCCTCACCAGTAAAATGGGGACTAATGCATATAATTGAGGTTTAGGAAAAAGATATTTAAACATTTTTTAAGTATGATTGTGGCGTATACAAATGTTCAGAAAATAAACTTTGCTGTTTCAATTTTTTATGCTGTGCCTAGTTTTGAAACATGGTTCTAGGATAAGGCATACTACTAGGCATGCAAGACAAGGCTGATAAGCCAGCCAAGTTCATCCAATCCAACTGTAGAACCAGACTTTCGTTTTGTTTCTAAAACTACTGAATTGTGGGGAAAATGCATTTCTAAAATTTTAGCAAATAATGGAAATAAAGTTCTCTTAATTTCTAACAGAAGCCTTCTCTGTAACCATTTACTGACAGAGAGGCAAATGGGTGGGATTACAAAATTAGTGGTCCGCTGAGGTGCCTGCTAATTTTCTCTGAGCTGTTGCTCTCATGGTCTCAGTATATGAAGAGCTGGGCATCTGATTCCAAGTCCAGTCTGTAGGACTTGTGAAAGGCAGCCAAGCACAGCCTGATGACGTATCACAGCTTTCTGTGACAATAGGATGTGGATATGTAGCTGCTCAAAATAGACTGCATCAAAATGAGCATGCCGCAGAAGCTTTTATCAAGGCATGCAGTCATGACACACAGGGGCAGGAACAGAAGAAGCCTTCAAAGAGGGGCTTGGCCCTATTTTCCATTCCTGTTCACAACATTTTTGAAAATTATTGCAGCTCTGCTTGGGAACCTGGCAGTGACTGCCACCCTCAGCAGAGGGAGTATGTGAGCTAAGATGAAGACAATGTAGAATCCGGCTTTGTTTCCCTAAAATGAAATTCACAAAGAAAAAGAAATTACTGATTCAATTAAGATTGATCAGTGCTGTCTCTGTTTGATTAAGGTGGCCACACAAAGAGGTAGAAGACTGACAATTCTGAAACTTCACAACCAACAGATCAATGCATCTATCCCTTCACGGGTTTTCCTCCCCGCCAGCATTTGTACCTGCCTAGAGAAATCCTGGTAAATGGCACCTCTGGCAAGCAAAAGAACAATCCTTTCTTGAAAAAAAAAAAAAAAGCTTTATCTATCACGTCCACAAAGATGGAATTAAAGCTGTTAATATCCTTTTGTTTCTTACAAGCAGAAAGCTTTATGAAACATGAAAAAAAAAACAGGAACTGCTCTAATTAAACAATTTAACTCATCTGCCTCTCACCTGCCTCTATCCAAAATGAAATAGGATAGGTGGGTTTACAGTTAGCCAAGTATATGTCCAATTTTAAAATGGCAAAATTCTATCTAGCATTTTTTTTTTTTTTTTTTTTTTTTTTTTTTAGTGGAACTGCAAATTAAACCCAGGGTCACTTTACCACCTTTTTAAAATTTTGAGACAGGTTCTCACTAAGTTGCTGAGTTGTCAAACTTGCAGTCCTCCTGACTCAGCCTCCCAAGTTGCTGGGAGGTATAGACCACCATGCCCAGCTGCCACAACTTACTGTTTTAAAAATCCATGTGCATAATACATTAAGAAGTACTACCAGTGGGGTAAGATGGTGCATGCCTGTAATCCCAGTGGCTCAGGAGGCTGAGGCAGGAAAATGGCAAGTTTGAAGCCAGCCTCAGCAACTTAGTGAGGCCCTAAGCAACTCAGAGAGACCATGTCTCTGAATAAAATATAAAAAAGCGCCAGGGATGTAGCTCAGTAGCTAAGTGCCCCTGGGTTCAATCCCTGGTACAAAAAAAAAAAAAAAAAAAAAAAGCTACCATAAGATTTTTTGGGGCAGTTCTGGGGCGTCTAGCTCAGTGATAGAATGCTTGCCTAGCAATGCATGAAGCCCTGGGTTCAATCCCCAGCACTGCAAAAATAACACTAATAATTTTTCCCCAAAATTTATAGTTAGAACTGAATTATATGGCTGCAAATTGATTTCTAGGTCTTTGAACAATCCATTACGTGTGTGTGTGTGTGTGTGTTTTGCACCCAGGGTGCTTAACCACATCCCCAACCCTTTTTTATATTTTATTTACAGACAGGGTCTTGCGAAGTTGCTTAGGGCCTTGCTAAATTGCTGAGGCTGGCTTTGAACTCGAAATCCTCCTGCCTCAGCCTCCCTAGCTGCTGGGATTACAAGCTTGTGGCACTGTGCCCAGCCTACTTTAATATTTTAGTTTCTAAATCTTTATATGCCATAAAAACCAAACCTGAGCTTCCTCATATTTGCTCTGCATTTCCTCTCACATTATGGGTTAACAGAAGCAATAAGTGCTACAAAAGATCCTGCATTAGATATCCATGTAACCATATGTAAGGAGTCACAATTTCAAGTTAAAACAACACTACAGAAAAACTTGACCTCGAGATCATCCCTGAAATGTGAACTTTTCAAGTATGTGAAGGAAAAAAGCATACAGAAAACATCCATGAAGTTGACAATGAACACCTTAAGACTTGCTGACCCCACTATACCAATCTTTAGCATCACTTCTGACTTTAAATCTACCAAATTCAGTACAAGATTTTCTGAGACCTCAACCCTCAAACAGGCTATGCTGCCTGAATTTAGACTAAAAAAGAATGGTCATGAGCTTAAACACTATGAAGCTAAGTAGTATCATTCTCAGTAACATCCTACTTCAGGAACCACTTTCAAATACCTCCCAGGATAACAACTAATGACAATCAGGATGGGTCTTTGTTTTTAATACACAAAGTCCATATTGCTTATTCTTAAAAAATGGGAGTAAAGTATCTTTAGAAGATGAATTTAAACCACTCAATATCATTGGTGTTACTCTGCACTAAAGGGACAAAAGAAGCACCTTAAAATGACATTCCAGTCCCAACCTCCTCCACCCCCATCATTTCTCTACTTGTACTCACTGTTACACTGGTCACAAGCGTAGATTCTCCCTTCCAGGGCCTCTGTCTCAGTGAACTTGGCCAGCATCTCAGTAAGCAGGCACTCTGTCTGATTCAAAGGAACAAACCCCTTTTCTATGCAATGATAGCGTTCAGGGAATTCCAGGGACAGATCCCAAAAGGGTTCAATAGTATTTGATTTGTAATTGCAAGATATACATGTGACCTAGAAGGAAAAGATTCATTTGTAGATTATATAATTTTCTACCTTTCCACACACATTTTTGTTTGATTTAAACAAATAACTTTATCAAAGCTAAGTATATAATTTTCAAAATAATAAAATTTTAAAAGAATTGGAGCATATTATATCGGTGTGCATTTCTAGCTATGTGATACTAGTTACACACTGGAAAACCACAGAACACAGTGATTATACCTACTGCTTTCTCTCTTCATCTTCATCGAAGTATGATGCACCATGGAATGCTGCAGCAATATAGACTGCAAGTTATACTGAAGGCATTCAGGGAATCAGTCTGAGATGGATGATTTACAGGTCACTGTCTACTTCATTCATCCTCAAATTCCTCCTCCCAACTTGAAGCCAACTTGGCCTCTCTTTTTACTCTTGTTAACTGAAGCTTCCCTACATTGATTCTCTGTCTGCAGAGCCTCAAAGTACTGTGACTAGAATTCCTCTCCCACTATAACTTTACCATTTGCACTTTACATGCTCAAAAAAAACATCAATAAACTTTCTCTTCTCATCCCACTCATCAGTCCTTCAGTTCAGTAGAGGTTAACCTGAATCTCCTACATTGTCCACCTCCTTTCTTTTATCTATAAAAAGTCTGTCTGCATATTCTCACAAGACCTTATCCATGAATCTACATGACTAAAGATCCAGGAATGAAATGAAAAGTAAAGGCGAACAGAAAAGAGGCTTTTTTTTAAAGCCTTTAGGATGCTCCCAGCCACCTCTCTTCCTTGTAGGTTAAGATGCTCTTTAAACCAGAATGGAACTAGGGTTCTAGGCAAACTCTGTTCAGTCCCCTAAAAATGATCACGGCATGGGACACCAACAGTGGGTATTTCATTATAACAATGACTGTATGACCAATATCTTCATTAGCAGGTAAAGCCATTCACAGAAAATAAAGTGGTATGGCCTGGCTGGAAAGAGTGCGCAAGTTTACTCACAAGGCCATCAAAGTGTACAATACAACAACAGATATAATGGCAAAATGCATAATCACAACAAATGTTGGCTATCCTAATTAGCCCAGGAATCTGGGGAGGCATTCACAGGACACTCAAACTACAACAGCCGCCTCCCGCCTCCCACCTCCCTCCATGGTGCTGGGCAGAATGGGGGGCGGGGGTCAGCCACACCTACCTGACTGAGCAGCTGACCGTGAAATATGGTGTTAACCACTTTTAAGACCTGTTTGGTGAGCTTCCTCTGGGAGAAGGGGATGAGGATCCGGCGCGTGGTGCCCTCTGACTCGAGTTCCTGCTGTACTTTGTGCAGCAGCTCGCAGAGAAATTCCTGCGCATCCTGCTGGTCATAGCCACGGAAGGCGGGGATCAGGCTCCACACGGAGTGAAGCATGGCAAAGGGCGACACTAGTGCCCACTTCCCGGACCACATGACTCGGAAGAGGGTGTGCAGTTCATGGCAAAGGGAAATGTGCTTCGAGCTGGGCTCCTTGTTCTGGATGAGCTCCAGGCTTCTGCTGATGGAGGCCCCACCRTTCCAGCAGAGGCCTTCCCGCTCGCACGCCTGGGCTCGGTCGCTCCTCGCCGACAACTCGGTGGCAGAGCTGCTGGCCGGCCTGCCAGAGAGCGGAGCCTTGCCGTTCGTGGCTTGGGGAAACAGGTGCTCTGTGGTGGATGGGTCAAGGTTCAGGAAACACTCTCGGAACTTCTGCAGGTGGCTGAGCACCTGGAGGATGGAGTTCATGTAGCAGGTGTTGCCCAGGTTGCGCAGGCCAGTCACGCCGGGGGCCACCGCCGGCTGGCGGCGCGGCTTGAGCGCAGAAGCGCCGGGCGTCCGGCGGGAGGCGGAGCGCGCGGCGGAAGGGCCCGCGCGGCGGGGCGCGTGCAAAAGCAGGCGCGCGCTCTTGCGCGGAGGGGCGCTGGCCAGCTCCTCCAGCAGCCGCCGCTTTACCTCGCGCCGCCGTTGCCGCGCCGCTTCCTTTTTGAGCTCCAGAGCCTCCTCCTGCCGCCGCTGCTCCAGTTTCGCCCGGCCCCGAGAGCTCTTCTCGAACCACAGCCTCAGTGTCTTGGCCAGCAAGCGCTGGCGCCGGTACCACAGAGCCGTGAGCATCTGCGGCTGTCCCTGAAGAGCACGCTGCGGCTGGACCACGTCCTCGCCCGAAGCCATGGACCGCAGCGTCCGTCTCACTGGCTGGTCCTGCTTCTGGCCCCGCACCGCCAGGAGGGAGCTTCTCAGCAGCTTCAGGTCCCCCTCCGGGTTATCATTGAGCACGTAGTCCTTGCACAAGTAGCAGAACACGTAGAGATCCCGGACTTCCATGGCTAGTGGGTGTCCAGTGTCTTCAAAGTGTTTCAGTGCGTGGTCCTCAATGTAGCGGCCGCAGGCCACGTGGGAACACTTGAGGCAAGCCCACACAGACTCGGTGGTGGCGCACTCCAGGCAGCACCACTTCTGAGGATTCAGGATGGAGTGGTCCTGGGCGAGCCGCAACCGCCCTACATGTTTGCATCTATCCATGTCTTAGAGCAATCGCTACCCTCTCAACCTGGCAAAAAGCCCCAAAAAGGGAAGGGGAAAAAAAGAACTTTCAGCAAAATGTTTTCCTAGAGAAAGGCTTGGGAATGGCATTTAACCCAAGATGTGCTAGTTTTCAATTCAAAACTGGTTGCTTTTAAAATTGAAACTTGTTATATCGAGTTTCAAATACCAGTGAGAGAGATGAAGAGCCTCAAACAAAATGTCAATCTCAGGTTGATTTTAATATATTTCAAAGTAGAGATAGTCTTGCACAAAGTATCATTTTTTATGCTATCTAAGGAGGAAGACCTCGAGCCTCAAGTAACATTCTACATGTGTCTTTTTCAAAATAACATTTACATCTTGTGGAAGGGGTGGGGAAACTTTCATTCTCACTCAAAGGGCAGGTATGTAAAGAATTTGATAAATTTGATTTGGGAAAAGAGGTCGAGTGACTACTGAAATATTACTTAACCCAACTACAATTTTAAAAGCAACAAATCTGCCAGAGATGAAAATGATTTTTTAAATGGTGGTACTGGTCGCGGTGTCACTCGCCTATAAAGTCCCTGTGACTTGGGAGGCTGAGACAGGGAAATACATACCAAGTTTGGGGCAGCCTCAGTAACTTATGGAGACTCTGTCTTAAAATAAAAAGGACTGTGGATGTAGCTCAGTGGTAAAGCACCCTGGATTCAATCCCTTGTACCAAAACAAAACAAAACAAAACAAACAAAAAATAACATACTGAACACTTTTTTCTGTGTAATACTGCTTTTTCAGTATTATTCATAAGAGAAGCCTAGTAGGCAATTTCTCAAGGGAAAGAAACTGGATGACTATTAAAAAAAAAAAAAAAGGTTATTCTTTGGAATCTTGAAGCTTCCACCCACCACCTGCAACCCATACCAGCTTTTAAAATTCCCTGAAGGCAGTCCTCTTATAAAATGAATAGCCTTCATCTCCATTTCTTTTCTACTTCTTGTTTCTATGAGCAATAGTTCCAGATTACGGGGTCAACCCAGAGAAGTCTAAATTCAGTGTACTAAGTAGTTCCTTTAGTTTTCCAGATATCCTTTTGGCCTAGTTCAGTTGCCAAAACCCACACATACACATATACATACATACATACATGTATGTGTATGTGTGTATGTATAAATATACACACACATTAAACAAGCTCTCCATATTAAACAAGCTCTACTGGTGTATATACATGTACACATACATACACAGACTGCAGGACCAAATTTTTTTTTTTTTTTTTTTTTTTTTTGGTACTTGGGATTGAATTCAGGGGCACTATCTAGAGACAAGGTCTCACTGAGTTGCTTAGGGCCTGGTGAATTCGCTAAGGCTGACTTTTGAACTCGGGATCCTCCTGCCTCAGCCTCCCAAGCCACTGAGATTACAGGTGTATGCCAGCATGCTGGCAGTCCTTCCCTTCCCTTCAAAATGGCAGAGGCCAGCTGCCCATATAAGAAACCCTCATCATGTATAAATAAAAATATATATATTTTTTTTAAATAAACCCTTGCCAGATGCAATGGTGTATACCCATAATCCCAGCAGTTTGGGAGGATGCGACAGGAGGATCGTGAGTTCAAAGCCAGCCTCAGCAAAAGCGAAGTGCTAAAATACAAAATAGGGCTGGGGATGTGACTCAGTGATTGAGTGTCCCGGAGTTCAATCCCTGGCACCAATAAACACATAAATAAATAAATTGGATACACATGATGGTCTCTCAACCAATTATCAGGGACACAAAAGATGTCAGTAAGGAAGGAATGAAGGGAGATGGGAGAAATATCAAGAGTCAAGAAATTCCCAAGTTTATCACTATTTTTTAAAATGTCGTCCCTGAATCACCTACCAGCATCAGAATTCCCTAGGCTTCTTCCTGGTTACTACTCTAGACTTAATGAATCTGTCTGGAGAGGAGACTAAAATCTCCATATTAAACAAGCTCTACTGATGAATCTTTTGCACATTAAAATCAAAGAACCACTACACTAATCCAATCAGTTATATAGGGAGGGAAAATTCACAGAAATCAAATTTCAATTCTCAGATTCTTCACTCAGACCAACATCATCCAAAAGAACTTTCTATAGTGATGAAATATTCTCCTTCGTGCTGTCCATTACTGTAGTAACTAGTCACAAAATTACCAAGCATTTGAAATGTGGCTAGTGAGACTGAGGGACTGAAGTTTTAATTTTAGTTAATTAAAATTTAAATAGTCACACACAGCTAGGCCTGGTGGCTCACACTTGTAATCCCAGTAACTCAAAGGCTGAGGCAAGAGGATCACAAATTTGAGGCCTGCCTCAGCAATTTAGCAAGGCCGTAAGCAACCTAGTCAGACCCTGTCTCAAAATAAACAATGTAAAGGGCTGGGGATGTAGCTCAGCAGTAAAGCACCCCTGAGTTCAATCCCCCATACCAAAAATACATTAATTTTTTTTAAAAAATTAGTCACACACCTACAGTGGCTGCAGTATTAAAACAGCAGACTTAAACACACCAGGATATATTGTTTAGCTCACTCCGCTTTTCTTTTGGTTTTCTTTCCTTTGAAAAATTCAGTACCTACTGAATCATACCTGAATAGCATCCCCTTATAACTCAAAACGTAATACCTAGCCAATCCCTATTTTTGCCTCAATGTGTCCTCAGATATTTAATTGCCACCAAAATGTTCTCCTGTGAAATACAAGTCAGCTTCACATCCTACAAAGAGAGAGTATTTCTGTAAACAGGAATATAGCAGCACAACACAGAACACCGATGCCTTACAAAATCAACTCCTGTGCTAGGAAAAAATATGCGGGAACAACCAAAAGCCAAAATAGAAAAACACTAAAACACTATTTCACACCCTCTCCGTGGAGCCCTGTCAAATGGAAAGGGCACTGTGGAAATTCTTCCTTCCAATTTCATTTCCTGATCTATAAATCTGCTGATCACGCACATCCTTTCCTGCACAGCCCTTTTCCCATTACAAATCTGTCGTGGTGACTCAGTAACCTGCCATATGGCAGAGTAAATCCATTCAGGAAAACACAAGGCTACTTTGTACCTCACCACATGGACCTAAGCTAGGCAGACTAGATTCTCTAGAGGAAAACTATATCTGATCATGAAATGGAAATTTCCAAAAAGTGACACAAAAGAAAAAAGCTAGCTTAACGAACATGTAAGATAAGAGAATGAAAAGAACACAACCCCAGGTAGGCTCTGTTCAAGGAGAAATGTGTTTAAATCACCTCCCACACACTCTGCTTTATTTCATAACAAGCCCTAATACCCACTAACAGAAAGAGGAATTCTGTTGTATATTTTTCTGACATGTACAGCTTTCCCTTCATATTCTCAAAGGTCACAATAATTCTAACATTTCTACTTGAAACATATATCATCCAGTATGACAGGCACCCAATATCCAAACAGACTTGCAGTGTGGTTGGGAAAGAACAGGATGTATCTGAATAGTTCTACATCATTAAGTAGATCGGTCATGTAAATAAATGCCCTACACAACCTGGATTAATCTGCATATAGGAAAGTAACCTGAAAAATATTAGCATTTTTTAATTACCATAGTTTTATTTTAAAAATCAGAATCAACCTGAGTTAAAAATCACAATCAGTATTTTAAGTAATTCTACTAGAAAAATGCCACTAAGTATTAAGTGAAAATATAATGGAATCTTTTCAACTTCTGCCTTTTGTTCTGATGAGAAATATCTAGAGGGGCTGGGGATGTGGCTCAAGCAGTAGCACGCTCGCCTGGCATGCGTGCGGCCGGGGTTCGATTCTCAGCACCACATACAAACAAAGATGTTGTGTTTGCTGAAAAACTAAAAAATAAATATTAAAATTCTCTCTCTCTTTCAAAAAAAAAAAAAAAAAGAAATATCTAGATTTACCACATCACTTAAAAAAGTCTCCATGTAAAAGATGACTAAACATAACAATCATTTTTCAAAAATAGCCTGAAAACATGGTATCTTTTAATTGGACTCTTTCAATTATTCTTAAATAGCAAATTTCTTAGCAGATCTTAAGTGCATCACCAGAAATAATATTTCTTAGGCAGAGGAATCAACAAAAACAAAATAGGAAAAAAAAATCTTCTTTAGGGAGATCTCCATTTCCCCCTCTCTCTCTCATGTTATCCATTTTTTCCGTTCTTAATGAAGGACTATGGAATAATCCTGCTTGGTCTTGGTTAGACCAAGTGGCATAAATTCCAGCTTCAGAGAGAGTAGACACTATGGTAACATGCTGACAGCCTTCATTTACATAAAAGAATACTAATTACGTGGTATCATCAACATCTGTGATTCCGCTCACTGCCATATGCGACAGTGCTGGGTATTTTAACCCTTCAACTCACTAAATGTATCCAGAATTGCATCTGTGACAAAATCTGAAGACCACTTGAAGAAACATAGTGAAGGCATTTTTAAAAATTACATGATAAAACTGAATTTTGTTTTTGCTAATATTTTATTTCCAAGTGGTATGAGAAAATATAATTCATTATCAATATTAATAATTAAGGAAAAGACTTTCATAAAATATAGAAATCACATTAAGAGGGGCTGGGGATGTAGCTCAGTGGTAGTGCACTTGCCTAGCATGTGCTAGGCCCTGGATTCAATCCCAAGCATTAGGTGAAAAAAAAAAAATCTCATTAAAATATAGTTAATAACCCAAAAGGGAAGGGTGCCATGAAAGTACTATGTAGGACTTTACAATGACAGTAGCTTTTAAATTTCTACATTTATAGCTAAAACAAAACTGAAATTAGGGCACACATTGAAAAGGTGGGGTTAGGGAAGCTGAGGGCCATGTGAGGTGGAGACTGCTGAATAGGTGGAATGTCCTTGCAGGCTGCTGCACATCCCCCTTCCCCTTATTACCACCCTCCCTGAGTGGGAGTGTGTAGGGGAGTATACGAGGGATTACCTCTAGAGCACAGCTCGAAGACCCCTGGAGGGACTGAAATTTCTGAGAGAA